CCCCACCAACCATGAAAAAAAAAAAAAAAAAAAAAAAAAAAAAAGACGACCCTCTTCACTGCATTTTTCCTAGGAAATGGGATCTGAGGCTGGGCCTTAGCCTGAGCACCGCTGAGAAGTACGTGCCATGAACAAGCCCTAGCAAGCGAGCCTCCCAGCCCTTGGCAGCTGCCTTGGTGCTCCTCCCGCCTGCACCGCAGCCGCCAGCCCCCGGCAGCGGCTGCCAACCAGCCCCGGGCTCTGCCCTGGCCCCCCACCACCTCCCCGCTCCTGGGGGCCATTGTCTGAACGCTCCTTGCAGCTCCCCTGGTACCTCCAGCAGGAGAATTTTGGAGCCAGAGGCATCCCTTTTTGGAGGAGGGAGGGATGGGAGGCACCCGTCCCGCTCCCGCTGCAGCCACCCATACCCACGGCAGCTGCTGACGCTCAGGAGAAGAGAGGAGGCTCTGGGGCCTCCATGGGTCTCACGGAGGGGACACTCAAAGCAAGACCCACGAGCATCCCTCGGTGGATTTCCCCTGGTCTGGTCCAGCTGCCACATCCTGCATCCCTTCCACCCCACCCATGAGCTGCAGTCCGGACCCTCAGCTCGGCCCTCTCCAACGCGGCAGCACAGGGTGGGAATGTGCTCCTGAGAAGCCACCCTCCCGCAGGACCGTGCCCATGAGCGCTGCCGTCTCTAGACCGAGAGCAAATCCCTCAGACATCGGGTGCTGGACACTAGGATCACCATCAAGTGCCAACTTGAGCAAATCCCAATTTCCAAGACACCCGTCCTGCTCCGTTGTCCCCTCCTGCCCAAGGACAGCCCTCTCCCTGCAGCCCTGCCATTTCCATTACCGACCTGCAGCCCTGTCCCCATCCCAGGGCATCCCCCTGACCTGAGGCTTTTGGGGAGTTTGCAAAGGGGCATCATCCACCGTGCCCCCCCGCCCTTTGCAAACCAGCCCCCCATATTTCATGGGGAGTCAGCATTTGTTAACTCCTCCTGCTCTTGTGCAAGCAGCTCTGGCCCCCCTCCAGCGCTTGGTTTATCTAGGCACCAGCTACTCCCAAGCTTTGCATGGGCGTTGGGCACCCACAAAGGCTCTCCAGAGGCAGAGGGCGAGCACTGAAAGCAGAGATTCGCGCCCGGGGGTGCAGGCCTGCTCCCTTCCCAAAGGTGTTCACTGGCAAGTCACAACACCTACGCCTGCTGAGACGGAACAGCAGGGCAAAAATCTCAGGGCAGCGAGAGCTCAGCCTGCAGATGCCGGGCTGCAGCCTGCGGGCTCCACCAGGACTAACATCCCCACGGTGAATGCCAAGTGGGGTGCAGGATGGCACGGTCTCTCTTATCCGTGATGACGGAGCTGAGCAGAGCCACCACCAGCACCGCCACCCACTGAAACAGCCACCGAGCTCTCTGCTAAGCAAAGAGATTTGTCTACAACCCCTCGGTCTGCACCCTCTTGTTGTCCGACTCAAGACCGCTCTGCCCAGCATTGCACCCGAGAGGATTTGCACAACCCTCCTGCTCTCGCTGGGGAAATGCAACCTTGGAGCCAAGCAATAAGTCTTTTCATCCTTTCAGCAGCAGCAGAGGAGGCAACGGTCTGGGCAGAGCGAACCCGGAGCGGTCGCAGCTTAGCAGATGAGCATTAGCATCGCTGCTGCAGCTGTCCCGGTCTGAAAATACGAATAAGGTAAAACATGGAGGGTATCCTTTATTAGATGAGCTTGACAAGAGCTGGAGAAAACCGAGCACCCTTGAGGCATACCAGCCTCCAGGTCCTGAGGTCTCTGGAGACCTGAGGAAAAAAACCTGTGTGACCAGCAGCTTGTCTTTTGGCTCCCCTGGATCCGTCCCTCTCCCAAGCACCCTCCCCTCCCTGCACACACCGCGCTTGCAGGTTGGCAAAGCCAAAAAAAGCTGGGCTTTCCAGTTGCCGGAGGGGATTTTCCAGGCCTTGCCTACCTGCCCTCCTACTTTGGCTCTGCGTTGCTGCACCCAGCCAAGCTTACCAGACACAAGCCTCAGAGAGCCCCATGGCCAACTACAACTTCAGACAATGATCAGCAACGTCCAAGCACCTCGTCTAACGCGAGGGCTGCGGCCACTGCTCAGACCTGCTTGGACAGGCAATGTGCTCCTCTGCCCGGCGCAGCTCCTTGCTTCTGCTGGGGTAGTTAGTATTATTGTCACTTCTCTGGGAAGTATCTGTCCTTTCATTTGTTTTTTGTAAATATATCTTGCTGCGTACGGGGCTCGCCCAGGAGCAAGCTCTGCTTTTGCACAGGGGAGCAGCCGCAAGACCAGGCTGGCTGCAGGTCTGGAGCTGCTCCCACCTCCACAGCAGAGCTCCCGTGCAGCGTTGGGTCAAAGCCTTTCCTACCTGCCCGCCTAAGCAGACTTCTCCAGGAGATGGTGGAAATCACCTCAGGAGCGCCTCTGGAAATCGTTCTCTGTAGTTAAACGCCTGCCTTTGAAGCTGGGACCTGACTTTTTGCCTCCTACTCCTCAGGGCCAAGAGCCCCGATGGCAGAACAAGGCTGATGAAAGCTCCCAGCCTCACAAGGGTGCTCTGCGGCTAAATGTACCGAGTCACAACAGTGCTGAGTGTTCAGAAAGGGCTGGTGGTGAACCATGCTCACTCGAACCAGGAAGAAGGCACAGCACCGCGCTCTGCATCCCCAGGCGATCCCCTGCAGCGGCATCTTGTCGCGGCACCGCCTTCTGCCGTGCACGTCCCCACGCGGTGGGATCCTGTCTGAAGACCCCACCACACCGCTGCTGCAAGTTTTCCTGAGCAAAACTGGAAATGCTGCTTTGCTGTCAAACTCTCTATCAGTGGACTAGAGGCAAACACGCAGAGAAGCGATGACCACTGGAAGGTCACCGGTGCTGGGGACAGCCCCACGTGGAGGACCAGGGCAATGCTTCATGGCATCTCCACCCAGAGGAATGGCACGTAGGGGAAGCACAGTGGCAGAGGGGACAAAGGGGGACCACAGACTTTCTTTAGGCAATTGCTAGGGCCAAAGTCCTGCTGGGCATCTTGGCCACCGAACTGCTCAGACTGAGTCTTTTTATTTATTTCCGAGACCACCCGAGTGGGGAGGGAATGTCCCCGTGGAAGGGGGACCTGTGCTGTCCCAGCTCTTACCTTTCACCGCCAGCGCAATGGCTCCGAGGACCATGATGAGCGTCTGCAGCGCATCGGTGTAGATGACGGCCACCAGCCCCCCTGCACGAGAGCAAGGCACAGCGTCGGGAGCGCCGCCGGCTTCGGGCTCGGTCGCGAAGTCCCAATAAAGCTGCCCGCGCTCGCGGGGACATGCCTGTCACCGACCTGGTCCTGCTGACACCGTGGTGATGGGGGGCTGCAGTGGAAGCATGAAGGGGGAACAGCTCCTCGGTGGGTCCCCTGCAGATGGGGTGGGGGGAGCAGCCGACAGCCACGGGGGCTGCCATCCCAGCTGGGGCAGGGAAGGGGAGCCGAGGGATGGCAGGAGGGGAGGGATGCAGCCCCACGTCCCCACGCAGTCGGGAGGATGCCGGCCATCCCCAGCCCTGGCTCTTTGGATGCTCCAGCAAGCAGACCACATACAGGACATTGATCTCATCATTCATCCCACCTCTCCCTAACACCACACTAGTCCTCCTCCTTCGTACACCCCTCACCTCTCCTCCCAACCCTACAGTTTTATTTTTCCAGCACCTGATGCTTAGCGGGACCCCCCTTGGCCAGCCAGCAGCACTTCTCCCTTTCCATCCCAAGCTCTCCCTCCGGACCTGTTGCAAACCCAGGACCTGCTTACCTAGCCAGAAAGCAATTACTCAGCACATGAACAAAAGCATTAAAAAGTAGCGGAGCTAGAGAAAATGGGTCAAAAATTGAACCAGTTGCAACCTCAGTCACCGACTCACATCCCAGGAATTCAGGGCTGCACCCTTCCTGGGATATGGAGGGATGTTCTCAGGATGAGGGTGACGCAGCGATCACACCCTCTGCCTGAGCTCACGCCGAAATGCCTTACTTCACAACAAGCCTTGTGGGCAGGAAAAAACCCAAGATGGGATTTGCTTAAAACCAAAGTCTTGCAAAATCCACCGTGTTTCGGATATACTTAAACTGTTTCCTGCTTTGATGGCTGGGACGA